TCACCATATGCATCCGGCGGCTTGCGTCTGAGAAACCCTCATGTACGTCCTTCCCTGCCCTCGTATTTGCCCATTAATAACGCAGAACTCACCCTCGCAGTATATTAGACCGATCAATGGTCACTGGGCGAAGCATTGCAGCGAGGCGGCTTGTTTAGTAGGTGACCCTGAAGTGTGTAGCATGCGTTGAATGTTCATTATTACACTACACTACAGATCCTAGGACGCGCTGCGCCTCTTGATTCTTCAAGAATGGATGCCCTCGTTGTAGGCATCTTGTGCCGAGCGACATCGGCGGACATACTCGTGGAGTGCAAGGCGGCCGCGAAGCCTTCGCACGTAGTCCGCATAAATAGCTCGCCGGTAGCCAACTCGCCCGCATTGCTGCGCCCAACCTTCGAGTCGCAGCGCTGCGCCGAGGGACCGAAGAGAATCCCACTCTCGACCCGCTTCGAATAGGTGAGTGGGGCTCGTTAGTGGCCGGAGGCTTACAGCCGTTTGGTTGCCGAGGATCGCAGCCCTTGTTCACATCTGTGTTCCCACCTTAGCGCTGACGACAATAGCATGACGGTACCTAAAGTTTCGCTCTCTGTGAGTTGGCGGCCGAACGCTTCACACGCGACCGTAGCGTGAAGTCCTAGTTGTTCGGCGTCCGCGTCAGGCCGTGCTCGTCTTGTTTCGGTGTGTGTTCATGTTCAAGGATCCAAATCGTTATGGGAGTCGAGGACCCCTCTTCCCACCGGGCTTCGGTCCTTGCCACAAGATCGCACATGCGCGGTACGCTAACACAACTGTTGATGACTTCATCCCGATATCATCCTTAAGCAGTCCCTGTTGCAGTGCTAGGTACAATTATCAAGTTATCGCTGCCGCCCTCCCCCTCAAACTGGTCATACCGAGGGTCCGCCTATGCTCAAAGCCTTATGACACCAGAGACCATCGACTGCTGGCCACGGACGCGCGTCATGACTCTTCCTAGCGACCTGACCCGAGGCCGCTTCCGACGAGGTCAGTGGTATGTGCCCCAGACACCAAATCCTCTGCCGCAAAGAGGACTGCCGGGGCCGACTCGAATAGAGCGGCTTCTCAGCATCGTACTCACCATAGCCCCTCGCCCTTGCCAGGAACAGTCTCAGGGCGGCCACCAGGACGGCCTACCTCACTTCCTTCCCTGGGACGATGTCCTCTACACAACAAACTTCGCTAATACGAAACAAATACTCATGCAACTCAGATGCACACGAACGTCGAAGCTGTGCCACACCGAAACGTGCGAGTCCTTGCCCCCATCCAATTCCCCATCTTCTCCTGGATCCTCCGTGATCAATCTCAAGACCCCCTCACCCATACCCACGCATCCGACCTTGCCCCATATTATGCTTCCCCGAAGTCCTGACGGATCGTAAACGAAGGGTATTCGACCTCCTGGTGGATGTCTTCGACGATCGTACATGCCACCTTGGCTCCCCGTGATACCTAAAGTGACCCAGTGATGAGACATAGCAAGCAAAGGTGATAATTGACGGAAGGCTTTGCGCTTACAAAACATTGTGCTTTATCCCTCCCAATGTCCACCCTGATTGAGTTGGCAATTTACTCATTATGGAGAGCTAGGATCATGATAGCCCAGGCAGATATAGAGATACAAACACATAATGCCAACAACTCTGTTGATGACTAGCCTCTGTCGGAAGCCCCTTCGAGTCCCTGCTAAGGTCTGCCCGAGCCCACTGGCAGTGCCTCGGGCCTCAGGCTTTCCCTTCCTTCAACAATGCACTGACAGTGATTGGTGTTGACGCATATCGGATTGCCGGACAATACTGCCTAGTGACCCTTTCTTTAACGTCTCTGACCTACACGATACCGATACCGGCTCGGTATTACTACGTCTCCGGAAATGCAGTCGAAAATGACGCATCCAGGGCAGACGTATGCATATCCACCTAAGACACCGTGAAGCCTCTTGAAGATCTGTCACTAGTGACACAATACCGTAGGGCGAGTGTTATTGAGCGGATAAACTCGTGCTGGGAACATGGAACTGGGAAGCAGACGGGGCGGTGCACACAGGGATCTGAAGAGAGAGCCGAAAGAAGGTGTCCACGGCCAAGTGCCCAAAGGGCCGACTCCTCATTATAGAAACCAATTGCTTGAGGAGTCAGATAGAACGGTGGCCTGTAAAAAGACCAAGAAGCTTGATGTTAATGAGTTTCTGTAACGACAAGCAGACCCTAGATGCTGTGGTCACCGTGCGCAGCATGAAGGTTCCTTGACTCATACTTAGTATGGGATTGTATGCCGGTCGCGAACTGATGCATCATTGGCGAAAGAACCATTCCGAACCACCGAACCCAGGGACGAAGATCTGAGCTCCAAGCAAATGAATCACCTCTCGGAAAGTACCCGTGAATGCGGGCGGGATTTCCTTTCGGAAAAGGTTTGCACCTGCGTTGTAACCCGCGCGAGGTAGAACTTCGGAGCCATTGTAGTGTGGAATAGCACTAGGCAGAGGTTATTTGAGGGCGATCCAGACACAGCTCGGCGTGACTGGTATTGCGTTTTGCTTTCAAATACAGCATGGCGTTAGTGGCAGAGCAAGATTTAAATTGCTGGTATGATCTTCAGATCGGAAATGCGAAGAATGGAAGAAAGAAAGTGGGCCTCGCCTTGTATAGTGATGCATATTCAGTGCCACACGGACAAAGGACTCCCCGTCAAGCGCGATCTGCATCAAGCCAAATTGGAGAAGGAGAATTCAGCGAATTGCACGCCAAGGGCCAAAAACGGGTTTTACATGTCCTGTAGGGTGTTCCTTTGTGCTACCGCGTGCGATGCAGCGTTCATAGAAGCGGATTCGACATCGCTCGTGAAATTGGCCCGAGTCTAGGGGGTGACAGTGAGACACGCTGAGTACATGAATGTAGGTACTGCATATGTACCCAGGTATCTTCAATTTTCGACCGTCACACTAGTGGACTCGACGATATGCATTCACAACGTGTTTCGTGTGTGACCTAACATATGCATTTCTATGCTGTTGATCTGCATAGACAGCCTGTCAATACAATGCGTCGCTGTCGTCGGCTCTCGGAGAGAAAATGATGTTCTGTTCTTCAGCTCTTCGGCGACGGCGTCGCTCCTTATCCAGGAATTGGCAAAGCGCAGCGATATTTGCACCGGTAAAGACGCGATGGAATCCCCGCATCCGCAAGTCATGATTCTTGAGATGCGGTGGATTCAAGATGAGCGTTAACATGGAACTGACCAACAGTCAACAACTAACTTATACAGGCACTCACCATCGAGGGCTCATCTGAGAACCGCTCTACGCCCGCTCGCTTGAGGAGACCAGGAACGCCTGAAGCATTGAGATGCTCAAGCTTGTTGAGCTTGCGCACTAGAACATGTATGGCATCGAGCGTAAGGCGTCTGCATTCACAAACATGCAAGCGTTGAAGCGACTCCGCATGTTCCGCAAGGAAGAACAGCGCATTATCTGTCAAGTATGGAAGTCCCGAGGCTGCCAATCGCTGCAGCTGAGGAAGGGTGCCCAACTCAAGGACGGCTAGGTCTGTGAGGGAAGAGCAGTCTAGGGGATTCAGATTAGAAACGTTGTCCGGTTATTGTAGTAGAAGAATTCCTTACAACTGACATCCACGGACCTGAGTTTCGTACAACGGCGAACGATGCTGACAACACCCGTGTCCGTAAGTCCATCGACGTATGACATTGCCAACACATGGAGGTGTTGAAGAGTGGAGACCGCCTCCGCTGAGGCGTCGGTTAATAGTGTGCATGCCGATATACTCAGATGCTGAAGTCTAGGTGCGTAGGTGACGACACCTAGAATCGCCGCATCCGTAAGTCGAGAGCAATGACTGATGTCAAGAAATCGAAGGTGGCCAAGTTTGTGCCCTGACGAGAAGATGAGGGGCGGTAGTGTTTCTAGCCACGTAGGTGGCCGGGACTCGTCAGTCCATGGGGACTCTCCGGGAGGATCGGTCGCAAGGCTCGATGGTCGATTCGTAGGGCCTAGGGGAACATAGGGAAACCCTTTGTCCGTGAGATGTACACAATTGGACAGCTTCAGACGTTGCAGATTCGTCGCAAACGTCCAGATATCTCGAACAGACAGTGAGGTAAGGAGGTATAGGTCCGAGATCTCGAGCTCGCGCAGGTTCGTGAGGGAGCGTGCCAACGCGGAGACGGAGGGGTCAGTGAGGGTGGGCAGTCCATTGAGGCGTACAATCTCGAGCTCTGTCGCTATGCTTGCTGCCTCCAGTATCGCAACATCCGAGATGAGGGCGCAACCAGAGATATCCAACTCGTTTAGGTAGCGGGCACTGCGAGCAAGTAGTACGACCGTACGATCGCTGAGATCCGGCACTCCGGTGAGGCAAATCGACTCCAAGTTTGGACACCAAGGAATTATGTGGGCTAGGTCGTCGTCGATGATGGTGTCCTCGTCGTTCTGGGTGACAATCAGCTCTGTCACATCGTAACACGACTTCTGTGTGAGAGGCAGGCGGTTGACGAAGCTCATCGGTCTCCGGTAGTACTACAAGGCTTATGGGAAGCTACTGCTCCATCCTTTGTCAACAAATTGCTGTGTTGAGCGCGAGCGACCACTCACGAGATTATGGTGACTGTTCTAACACTGTTTGGGCGAAACCTCGTTCACCCGGTTTCAGTGGTAAATACGGTCAAGTTGATAGACCGCAAGACAAATAGAGGCTATCCTTGACCGAACTGCGGTGTCCAGAGTTTGCCGCTGAGCTAGGCCGTCCCAGTGGAAAGCCTAAGTGGGAGCTTAACCGCAAAGTGGTGCTGCAGTCACGGTACGTTACAGATCCAGCAAACAGAAGCGAAGCTGTCATGATCGTACAGCCAGGGCAAGAAAATGCGCCGCAACAACACCCTGCGTTTAGACAGCTTCGCTCTTGAAGGCACTGTACAGTCACCATAGAGCGGGTATAAAAAGTAAATGGAGAGAATCAAAATACACTGAACGGGAGTCGAACCCGTGCCGCTTGCTAAGTCACGTAATTATGGAAGGCAAGCATGATACCGTTTCACCATCAGTGTGCTGTTAGAGGGTCATGGGCAATAGACCTAGGTACCAAGCAGGCGGTCCCTTCAGGTTACAAGTAGGCAAAGCGATCGCGCCGCCCACTGTCATCTTACCGTCGGGAGGGCAATGTCTGTGCTTCTCGAAACGTCTCTGGGGGACCTTGTTATCGATCTTGAAACTGAGGCGTGCCCTAAGACATGCGAAAACTTTCTGAAGTTATGCAAGGTCTACTACTATAATCTCAATGCATTCTTCAATGGTGAGTCGTCAAACGCACCGACGTCGCAGGGCCTCACATATCTACAGTATCCAAGGACTTCTTAGCCCAGGCTGGGGATCCTACCGCTACAGGGACGGGAGGCGAGTCTATATGGTCTCTCATTGCTTCACAGCAAGGGAAAGAAGAACCTCGCTACTTCACTCCCGAGTTTGTACCGCGCCTGAAACACAAGGCAAAGGGCACTGTGTCTATGGCGGTCGCTCCTTCAATTGAGGGTCAAACTACCGGTGGCTGCGGTAGCCAGTTTTTCGTCACGCTTGCAGACGAAATAGACTACCTGGACGGGAAGCATGCGGTCTTTGGGCACGTTGTCGAAGGGCTGGACACGCTGGACAAGCTGAATGATGTCTTCGTTGACCAGGAGGGGCGACCACTCAAAGATGTGCGGATAAGGCATGTAGAGATCTTAGGTGTGTGCGGTCTTGCAGACATAGGTGTCCTTGGGGCTCACCGTCGTCCCCCCAGACGACCCATTTGAGGACCCTTTAGGTTTGGTGGTACCCGCGTCAATACCAACGCGCCCACCGGACAACTCCACGCGTATTGCAGAAGACGAAGATCCATTGGCTACGCTCCCAGAAGAGGAAGCTGAGGCAGAAAGGCGTGCCCAGGCTGCGCGTGCGTCCGCCCTGACGCTCGAGATGGTCGGAGACTTGCCCTTTGCAAATGTGCGACCTCCGGAGAACGTCCTCTTCGTCTGCAAGCTGAACCCAGCTACCCGAGACGAGGACTTGGAGCTCATTTTCTCTCGCTTCGGTCCGATCATGAGTTGTCAAGTGATCCGAGACAAGAAAACCGGCGATTCCCTCCAATACGCGTTCATAGAGTTTGACAAGCGAGAAGATGCCGAACAGGTGCGTGTGGGCGTACCTGGTGTGGGCGATAGCTGACAGAAACCAGGCGTACTTCAAGATGCAGAATGTACTAATCGACGAGCGGCGTATCTGGGTCGATTTGTGAGTGACATGCAGGACGCCACCGTATGACGCGGTCGGACTCATGTGTTTCACACAGCTCGCAATCGGTGGCCCGACTCAACGGAGGATGGTCAAACGATCCCAAAGTGGGGTCTCGTCCCGTGCGTGGCGAACGGCAGCGCGATGGCGTCGGCTTTGGAGGGCACGACGCATTGGAGCCTACTCGGCGATACAGGGAAGGCATGGGGCACCAGAGCTCCCGTTACGGGATGGTGTTCGACGTTCCTGCCAACGAACGGCCCAGCAAGCGCCGTGACAACAGCAAGGAAGGAGGGCTTCGGAGGGATCATTCCAGAGAACCCCGAAGACGGTCACAGTCACCAAGACCAAAAGGGCGCAATAGCGAGCGCGACAGGAGAAGCCGCAGTAGGGACCGGCAGTCGCGCGAGCAGTATGAACGCGATCGGCGACGATGAGACGCAGGGCGTCTTCGGCCTCACTAAAGCCTCGTTCGTGACGTTGTGTTACTGTCAGCTCCGCCGCCGTCTTGTGAGCACTGTTACATGCGTTACGGTTGCCACGGGTTTACTTGTGCACATGCCATACTTGAATCCGATCAGTAACGTCACATCAACCCAACGGACCTACACAACCGATCGCAGTGCCGCCTTCGTGCGCAGGTCGGTATATAAGCTGTGGCCCCTCTCACCGCACTCTCATCATTCGTTTCTCCATGTCATCCGCGATGACCTGCCACTATTCTTGTTATACTCCCGTTCCATCCCCCTCCGCTATGACCTCAAGCTACTTCAACTTTGATGACGCCGACGTCATTCTGCGCTCTGCAGCGCCACATGCAACCGAATTTCTTGTACACAAATCCCTCCTCTCCGCCGCATCTCCCTTCTTCAAGCACATGTTCGCACTGCCGCAGAAACCACGTACCACTGTCGAGATCCCCGTCATTGATGTGTCCGAACCGAGCACTACCTTGGACACACTCCTGCGACACATCTACCCGACGTCGAGGCCAATCATTGACACGCTAGACGAGTTAACTCACATTCTCGAGGCCGCTACGAAGTACGACATAGTCAGTGTCGTAGACATCCTCCGGAAACAACTCGTCGCCCCTGAATTTGCCACCGCCACACCTACCCGTGTGTACGCGATTGCATGCCGGTTCGATTTGGAGGAGGAGGCGAAGGTGGCGTCGCGCTACACGCTCAACGTCAATGTCCTCGATTGTCCCCTTCACGACGACCTTAAGCACATCACTGCGTACGCATACCATCGCCTCCTTGATCTTCATCGGAGACGCGCGAAGGCAGCCCAGGAGCTGCTCCAGTTGTCGGGAGACGTCAAGTGCATGCAGTGCAACGGAGCGCAGTACCACGCGTTTCTACCGCCCAAGTGGTGGGTAGACTTCCACGAGCGGGCGAAGCAGGAGTTGGCTGTCCGGCCCACGACAGATCTGGTCTTCTCTATGCCTTTCCTAGCGCAGTCGGCACATGCGGGTTGCGAGCGGTGCGCCGGCAGCATCCTCGATTCGCATTGGTTTCTGGACCAGCTGAAGAAGAATATAGACAATTTGCCATCCACGATATGATGATGACTCTTCATGACGGATACCTGACTGCGCATACCTTCCTTTCGGACTTATCGCATCACCGGACATCTACCCCTTCTCGTCCTCCACGGGATACCCCAGCCAGACCAGCGGAATTGTTGATCTATCTGTCTAATTAGCTTCTGGTGCCTGTATACGAATTGTACACCATTGAGAACGTCGAAAGTTGGCCGTCTGAACGATGAACCAGATCTCCACCTCATGATAGTATACTTATGGACGATGGTGATAAGACACCAGAGCTAGTCACGGTGGTACACTGAATGGCCTATTGGTCGGATGCAGTCGATGTGCGATAGGCCGCCCTTGTGCGGCTAGGCTAAGGTTGCTTCAGAACCACTACCGTCATGGCCACACCCCAGCTCGCTGCATTCAAGGTCCCGGCGATCGAAAATGAGCCTATGGTAGGCACCATTTTGACTTCGGATGTTCGCATTGGGGAAGTGGTACTGATGCAGATTGTCTCCATTCAATAGAGGAGCTATGCTCCCGGCTCCAAAGAGCGCAAGGATCTCGAGGACGCATTGAAGCGGATGCAGAAGGAACTGCCTTTCGAGGTTCCTTGCGTGATCAACGGGAAGCCTGTGAGTGTTGTGGTCAAGTTATGGTCTTGTTGGTCGAGATGGAGGTGCGTGTTTAACCGAGCGGCTTGATCGATGTAGGTCAAAACCGGGAAGCTCGCTCAGCAGCCCATCCCGAGCAACCATGCCAGATACCTGTGCAACTATCATGAAGCAGACCAGGCCACTGTTGCTGCAGCCATCGACGGTGCCCTGGAAGCCAAGGCGGAATGGGAGTCCATGCCATGGAATGATCGTGCTGCTATCTTCCTCAAAGCCGCTGATCTTGTCAGCGGCAAGTACCGCTACCAGCTGATCGCTGCGACGATGCTGGGACAGGGCAAGAACGCCTGGCAGGCTGAGATTGACGCTGCGGCGGAGGTGCGTACACACGACTCTGATGCGTGAGCAGCATACTCAGCGATCCGCCGTTAGTTCGCCGACTTTTTGCGTTTCGGCGTGAAGTATGTCGAGGAGCTGTACGCTCAGCAGCCTTCGAAGAACAGTGCCGGCGGATGGAAGTGAGTCTGCACCGTGATCCTGTCATTCACCACCGGCCCTGACAATATTCAATCCCCAGTCGGGTTGAATACCGCGCTCTTGAGGGCTTCGTACTCGCGATTTCACCATTCAACTTCACCGCTATTGGCGGCAATCTCTCAGGAGGTGTGCAGAACGATGATCGCGATGACAACCGATAATTGAATGTCATTCTCCGTCTAGCACCGGCATTGGTGGGTAACACCATCGTGTGGAAGCCATCACCAATGGCCGTCTACGCGAATTATCTTACACACAAGATATTCCTGGAGGCCGGCGTACCGCCGGGTGTCATCCAATTCGTCCCCGGTCCTGCGGAGGAGGTTGTCGGCCAGGCCATCGCGAACCCGAACTTTGCGGCCCTACACTTCACCGGCAGCACGTTCATCTTCAAGAAGCTCTGGAAGGACATTGCAGCGAACTTGGACAAATACAAGGGGTATCCCCGCATTGTTGGCGAGACAGGTCAGATGGCCGGATGCGTATCGGTCCAATCAAACATCCGCTCACTGCAATGTATTGAACAGGTGGCAAGAACTTCCATCTCGTTCACTCGTCTGCCGAGATCAGGAATGCCGTGTTGCAAAGTATTCGAGGCGCTTTTGAGTACCAGGGTAAGTTCAATGTATCTAGCTGTCACAATCACATATTGATTAGCTACTGTCTATATGTTTAGGTCAGAAGTGCTCAGCGTTGTCTCGTCTCTACGTCGCTTCCTCTGTATGGAAGGGTGGTTTCAAGGAACAGCTACTCGAGCAAGTGGCGACACTCAAGGTTGGCCCGCCCACCGACTTCACCAACTTCATCGGGCCGGTTATGTGCGTATCACTGATAGCTGCGGAAAGACCTGTACGAATGATTGACGGCTTGTGGGTCCAGTGGGCGCCCGTCATTCCAGAAGGTGACAAGTTATATCCAGAAGGCTAAGGACGCTGGCGGTGAAGTGTTGATTGGCGGGTCTTGTGAGTGATGCAACTTCAGCGCATATCCGAGCCCCGTGCTTACTACGGGCACCTCTCGAAGGGGATGATTCAGAGGGATTTTACGTTCAGCCCACTGTCATCCTCACCACTGATCCTCACTCCGT